TTGGAATTTTGATGATAAATTAAAAAAAAAAAAAAAAGAAACGATCAAGCTTCGAAACTCTAAATAAATAAAATTTTCATCAGGAATTTTATCGACAATCCGAGAAACTGAATAAGATAAATATTGGATTAGAAATAATCTACGCATTAAAAAAGTATAACGATATATATATAAATTGAAATTTTAATCAAGTTTGAATCAAACAAAAATCGATCTGTAATAATTCGGTGACGATTGTATATGTATATAACCACGCTCACTATTTTCAATATCGTAAGTAATTTCACCAAGTGGATCGAATTTTCTCTCTTTGAATCAACGGGGCATAGAAATCCAACGTTGCCTCGCATCCTTTCAACATATTTCTTCCACGGAAATACATTTACGTTTGTTGCGCATAACCAACAAGCGAGTTGTCGGTTAGTTCGATACCACGCGTCGAACACTGCCTCGTTGGAGGAGCGGCGGCCTACTCTCGCTTCAAGACGTCGAGTTAACGAAAAATGTTGTGGTGGGGGGAAGAGAGGGGAGGGGATCGCGCGCTCGCTAATGAATCCGCTTTATCGCGAAAAGTGCTCTTCACGGTTTAATTTCCTGGCCACCGATGACGGGGAAAATTTCTCATCGATATCTTTGATCTATCTTTCCCTTTTGTTAAGGAAAGGAACGGAGGTAGGAAACAGAGGCTTCGCCTCCATATATTTTAAATAACGTTCCTCCTTTAATCCAGCAGCCACGCGAAAATAAATTAACGTAAACGGATTTTTTTTTTACAGGCAGAAATTTTTCAAGATAATTATAATTATGTTTCTTTTGTATTTGTGCGCGTAACTTTAACAGTAAGATAAAAAAGTTATGAATTTATCATTGATTTGTTTGAAAAAGAAATTTCTTTCAATAATATATAAATAAGTATCTTTTTTTTTTTAATGATCATTCTATTTTTTTTTAATTTTTTATTTTTAAATTTAATAATCAGAGGTGATTATTGGGGTTTATATGTCGTTTATTGACAATGGATACAACTCAAAATGTAGAGGTTAAATTAATTTGATTGATTATTATTAATTAATTATTGCGGTTTTTGGTAAATGTGTATAAAGATAGAAATATGTATCTTTAATAAAAACAAATTTTGACTTTTGTGTCAATATTGATGCAAAGTAGTAATGTGTTACATAAGTATAATCTATGTCACGCAATTATTGTAAACTTCAATTCGCTATCATCTTTAGAACAACGTTACTCAAATTTTACAAATAATTCTTAATTATTCTAAAAACAATTTTCTTGGTTATCAAATGTATCACGTAAAATAAAAAAAGTCCACCATCGAACCCATCATTATTTTATCTTAATATCATCATTTATACCTATAAAACAGAATTCTCAAAATTTTACATGTAATTTTTTAACAATTTTATATATAATTTCGTTATACGTTTCTCTATAAAAAGAATCTACAACAATCTTCAAAAAATATATTCAATTCCCAACTCATTCATAGAACAACATTTTCTNCACTAATAATTCTTTATTTCATTACACATTTCTTTATCATTGATTGTCTGCTATAGAACATATCATTCTATAGAACAGCATTCCCCAAATTTCACTAGTAATTCTTTATTTCATTATACATTTCTTTATCATTGTTTTTTATAGAATATATCTATATATCATTCTATAGAACAGCATTTCCCAAATTTCACTAGTAATTCTTTATTTTATTATAGATTTCTTTATCATTGATTGTTTACTATAGAACATATCATTCTATAGAACAATATTTTCCAAATTTCACTAATAATTCTTTATTTCATTACACATTTCTTTATCATTGATTGTCTGCTATAGAACATATTCTATAAAACAAATTTCACTAATAATTCTTTATTTCATTACACATTTCTTTATCATTGATTGTCTGCTATAGAACATATTCTATAAAACAAATTTCACTAATAATTCCTTATTTCATTATACATTTCTTTATCATTGATTGTCTGCTATTATAAAGTAAAAAGAGTGCATCATCATAATTCTACAATAATCTGGAAAAAACATATTCAATTCCCAACCCATCCATTTCCCAAATTTTCTTTATTCCATTACACATTTCTCTTCAAAATAAGAAGAGCTCATCATCAAACCTAGTAATCTTCAAAAAACATATTCAATTCCCAATCCATCCTATAGAACAACATTCCTCAAATTTCACTAATAATTCTTTATTTCATCACACCTTTCTCTTAAAAATAAAAAGAGCTCATCATTAAACCTACAATAATCTTCAAAAAATATATTCAATTCCCATTCTATAGAACAACATTCCTCCTAAATTTCACACAATAACTTATTTCATTTCTCTTCAAACTAAAAATCATCTAATCTACAATAATCTTCAAAAAACATATTCAATTTCCAATCCATCCTATAA